CTTTTGTTTTCAGTCTTGCTTCAAAAAGCCATGATGTATTTTGAGTTGTGCCTCTGGTTCGCTCTGTAGAGAAAATGTAAACAGCTCTTGTTCTTATTGAACATCTGGTTCCTTTTTGCTGTTGGATATAGGAATGCATTTAAGGTGTTTTAACCTCCTTTGGCAACTAGACCAAAGGGAGAAATATTCCCAAGAGATGTCCATTTTCCGGTCAAAACTGAAATTCAACATGAATGCATTTTCTGTGTCTTACTATATATTGATCAAAGTATTATTTTTGTTTAATATGACAAAAAAAAGGACCAAAATTACACTTCACAAGTCATAAGCAGGATGTTTTGCCCAAAGAGGTGGTATTCATGCAATTTATGTTGGCGAGTTGTAGGTCTTTGCAATCATATTTGTGGTATTTACTTTGCCAAAGAGTTACGCTTTCCTTTAAATATTATTGATTATTCCAAACCATTTTAGCAATATAAATATGATAAGGGTATTTCTTTCTCACAGTATGAGAATTTAGAGGACAGACTTAATTTTTGGTATATACTAAGGACTCCTACTTTGATATAAACTTTTTTTTTGTTATTATTTTATAAGCTTACATTAAAAAAACAGTACTTGATTCATTTATTCTAATCTCTGCAGCTTATGCATATTGTCAGGATTTTTCGTGCCTGATGTCAGGAAGATTATAATTTTAAGTAGACACTAAAGCTCTCCTAGTAATTCTGTATCGTCATGATCACTATTTGGTATTTAGTAATTTTGGATATTTTTTATGCTTTATTGTGGTGTAGTTGGTTGAAAATGTGTTCCATCATATTAAAACATAATGTGCTGGTACCTCATATAAGGAAAAAAAAAAGGATGATTTGCTATAACCAGATATAATTATAGAGATGTTAATTAGATCCTTCTTGATTAAATGTAGCAACAGGTGATCCCTCGCATATCCTGTTCTGGTCATTAATCTCGTATCCTTTTTGCATAAGAGTCTTTCCCTTTTTTTCATTTTGATATGCTGTATAATTTTGTAAATTTGAGGAATACATAAACATAGAGATTAAATAATAAATTCAGCTTAGGCAGTTTGAATGATGTAATGGGAAAAAAAAATAACAGACCTACATTAAAATATAAAGGAATTTGTATCAGTCAAGGGTTTTTTTGACTTTGATTTAGAAGAAGGCTTTGCATGATGCTATTTTTTTCAAGCTGAATCTCATCTGCATTTATCCAAACACTGAAAGAGATACCCAGTGGCAAGAATAGACACAGTGTGAACTGATCTCTGAATGAGTCACACTGTATTTCATAAAATCAGTGATTGGGAATATTCACTTTGTTTAGCTAGTCTGTTGCTCCTTGGATGAACTGACCAAATAGTGTCTTTGATCAAATTGTCCTAAAAGAAAGGAGAAAATATATAGATATAAAATTGTACAAGTAGTTCAGTAGGATGTCAGATATATAGCTCAAGATCTTTTACACGACATTATTAAAAATTAAATAACATGGTTGGATATTTTATATGAAGACCACAGTGGTAACAATATCAGCTGTATCATGCTTCAGTGGACTAAATGTCCATTAGCTTGAGCTTTTTTTCTTTTTCTTATTTTATAGTTGTGTCTGATAAATGTGCCTATTAATGTTTTACGTATAGTTGTAAAGTTTATAGTCCTGGAAATGTGTCGGCAGACTGATAGCTAAGTGTGGGCTCCAGCTTCTGTGTTCGTTTTATGTTTTCATTATAAAGATAGCAAAGAGTTAAAACATATTCCCTGATATTGATGTGTTTTAAAGATTTTAAATCATAAATATCCAGTCTAGATATGAACTGATGACTGGAATATTTACATTGTAAATGAAATGTTTAGAAATGTTTTTTTGGCTAGGAATATTGGACTACCATAATTAGATATCTCATTTTGATCATGTTGCTATGCAGCCACAAATTTTTGCTGGCTGTATTGGAAGGAAATTTTTTTATTATTTTCCTTCACTTTCAGAGCTTTGTATTGATACTCTGATGGCAGACTCAAATATATACTGGCATAATGAAACTTATATGATTTGTTTTTTGAAGCATCAATAGTTATATGATCTGAAGGGTACCATAAACAAAGTGAGTGCCTACTACTGTTGTACATAATCTTGTTTACTCTATTCATTTATATATACATTAGAAAAAATCAAACAAGCATGTTTTTTTCCCTATATGAATGAATCATGGAAGGCATGTATTTAAAACAATGCCAACAGCTTTTACCCATGCCAACTTGAGACGTGCACCAGTCACCTCACACAGTCAGCCTCTCGAATGGAATCTTAGAAGCATGGGAAATATACAGTTTCCCTGCTCTCTGTGATTTTGGCTGTGGCATATATTTTTTTCCAGTTAATGAGATTAAAAGGACCTTAAGTCAACTGAAGAGGACTGGATCTAATCAGTGACTGCAGCCAGGGCCAAACAAGTGAATGGCTGTATAGTGTAAACAACATAGAGCATGGCTAAACCATGCATGGCAATAATATTTGCTATCAGCCATTTCAGCTTGGTGTGTTGTGGCGAATATAAACGTCACCAAGTGTGATTGGTTTAAAGCGATATTTTCCTCATGAAATAATTTATTAGATGACAAATATAACCTAGATTAGGGAATCTCAGCCTTTACTATGCCAGACTTCCTACAGACAGTTAGCCCAGGTCATGAGTATATATTGTGTATGACTCACTTGTTTGTTAACCCAATGCTGCTGAGAAAATGCTGCACTCATTATTTTTTTTTTTTTGTGAAATGTCTCTCCACATAGATGGCTCTGCTAGTGCTTAGCCACAAAGGAGTTAATTAGTTGACCTTGTGACTTTACCTGATTTCATCTTTCCTTGAATTAGCAGGAAAAATGTAATTTTTGCTAATGCTATGAATATTGATGGTGTTAATTTTATTATAGACATTATAATTATTTTCATATTATAAACATTAGTAACAGCAAAATAAAATAATGTAAAATATTTTCATAAGTCAAGGAAAAGGGTAAATGGGCGAGACAGGCAGTAATTATAATTGGCTCATTGGTGATTTAGTATAAGTGTTGCCATCTATGTTTAAAACAGTTAATAAAGTAAATTCACAGTGGGCATGGTGTGTACATACATGTCATTCCCATTGTTATTGACTTAACTTTGGACATGGATGTACTAAAATAATGATATTTTATTATATAAAAGTATAATGACATGGATCGTGAACTCATGATCTGTGTTATTCATGGATCATGAACAGTGTCTCTATTCTGTAGTAGTAAAGTTTCTGTGTTAAATAATGATAATGCTGTTTTTTTTAATGAATAACAAATTGCTTACCATATTTGGAACCCTTCTATAGGAAGAGACAGCATGTGACAGATCCACGTGGTTGGAAGCTAAAGAGAGCATTACATCTAATCCTATTTGCAGCAGATACCAACTAGCATAATTGCCACCATACTTTTTCAATACTTGTAATAGAGTAATGAGATGTAGTGTGATAGATTTAAGAGAATGAAATGTGAATAGTGAAAAGGAAAAGAAAAAGAAAAACAAGCTTGCAGTCCTGGACAACATGGGTAATGTTTTGGGTAACCTGAGATGACATTGCTGGTAACCACAAACTGGTCTGTGAGGGAGGCTTGACACAGTAACTGTTTGGCGTGTGGAGAAGGCTGGTCTGTCCTTCCCTTCTCTGTCTTCATCTGCTATCTAATTTCTTCTTGAACTGCAAAGAAATTGTGTTTAGTAGAGGAAGGAGATGGTGCTCTGGCCTCAAGAGAGTCTCGAGAAGAAGGTAGATGAGAGTTGTGTGTGTGTGTGTGTAGGATCATGTGCTTGGGAGATTAGTTGGGAGGAGGAGGAGGGTGTGAATAAGAGTGTAAAGCCTTGTGACTTGGTTATAAGGGTGTTCAGTTCCAATCATTGTGATGGAAATTATTCTTTATATTAATTGCTAATCACAGAATAGTTGTTTTGCCGTAATGCAGCTATTGCATAATGTACAACACCCTTCATTGTTAAGGAGAGAATACAGTTCTAGAGAATGATAGCAATTTACATAGTATAATAACATTTTGGAAAGGAACAAATCTTAATTTTTAAATTAGTTATGTAAAATGGAATTGCATTGTTGAAGGTAATGTGAACATATGGGAATTTTTATAAAAAGTTTTAGAGAAGGTACAGTAGGAGGAAACAAATGCAAATATGAGTGCGATATAGGGGAATGTATCACAGTCATATGGAGAAGTGAGAAGTTGATATTTTTGTGGAAGTGTTTGTCCACATTTTATCTGTTGTAGTAAGTGGATTTTGTTTTGATTCTAAAGGAAGATTTTCTCTTGCAGGACTCGATCAGGCTCCCGGAGTTCCGGTGGTTCGAGCCCAGCAACCATACATGGGAGGGCTCCACACAAGACTGCCACAGTCACTCCGGCCCCTAATAAAGTTACCCCTAAGAGTGGTTCTCTCAACAGGTTCGGATTCCGTAGCAGTGCGCAAGTCAAATCTGGTGATAGCACTGACAGTGTTAATTCCATACTAAGTGATGCGCAGACAATATCTGACTCAAATTCCAATATCTTTGAATTATGTGAAGAGGAAAATGAAAATCTTAAAAGCACAAAGAAAAGTAGTGAAACAGATGTGTGTGACAACAATGACATTCATGTGCAAAATAGGTTAGCGTTGTCTAACACAAAGGTGAATAAGTCTCCTACTCCATACAGTACTCCAAGAGGCACACCAAATCTACAGTCAGGTCGAATTACAGCTTTTACCCGACAGTTACCGAAACCTCAAGTAGTTACTGTTAAGTCATCTGTCAGTCCGAAGCCACAAACTCCACTGTCCTATAGCCCTAGGCCCTACACCCCTAAGCCCCACAGTCCCAAAACCCAAAGTCCATTAGTCAGAGACAGAACGAAGAGCCCCTCATTAAGATCTCTTTCCAATACCCCCTCGAAAGCTCCCTTAGAACAAACTCCTAAAGCAAAGCAGCAGTTCTTGAATAACAGTCAGAGGATTCCTCGGGTTTCAAGAGACTCGGAGTCCTCCACCAGGTCGGGGACTGAAGTGGACTCAGGGCTGGGATCCTCGAGTGAAAGCGACAAGATTCGCGGTGAAGGGGAGACCGACACTCTTGGATCCAGTAATGTAGAGAGTACAGAAGATATGTCCGATGCATGGCTCAGAGGGAAGAGGGCACAGATAGATCCAGCTAAGAGGCGGTCAGGTAATATGGAAGTCCATTTTAATGGCACAGGAGAATTTGAATTGAAGAGACGCAGTTTAGAATGTAAAGAATCAAGTCCTTCTGAACCACAACTTTCATCAGTCAAACCAGAGGTTCCCCCGGAAAAGAAATCCGAACCAAGCAAAGAAAAACGTGAAGGCACAATAACCTACAGTATGGCAAGACAGAAGTTTGCTCCATACAGTCGTGGTCGCATTGGCTACGGGTACCAGGGCACTGCTGGAAGGAGTGGTGAAGGTGCTTCATCAAATAACTCTAATAACTCAAGCACAAATGTGACAAAGATCCCTGGAAGCTCAGGTCTAGTCAGAAACCGTGTCGCCATGCTGGAGAAGACTCCTACAAAGACAACTCCACAACCACCAGTGAGAAGAAGCAGTCTGAAGAAACCAGTAATCAGACCCACATCTTTGGAAAAGACACCTATTCTAGTCATGCCCGTCACAGAAAAGACAGTAGAACTTAGTAAGCCTGTGTGTAGAAGGCTGGAATACAGTGAATGCAAGAATGTGAAAAGTGATGCACAAAATGAGATAAGTGGTGAAATACAACAGGGAATAAATCCTAAACTTTCTACCTCACATCCAAAGGCTGAAGACATTCTGATTGTGGGTTCAATTGAGGTAGAAACACATACAGACAATAATATCCTTTTAGAAGCTGAAAATCATGGAAGTTATTATGAAAATTCCTATGAAAAAACTCCACTTATAGTCAAAGAAGTACCTTTGAAACATAGTCCAGAAAACAACAAAGCAAATGAGAATAAAGCAGCAAATGATGTTATTGAAAAGGAAAAATTACATGTTGTGACATTTGACGGGGATTCATCAGAGTATTTGTCAGAGACTACTAATGACTACACAGACAGCAGTTTATCTGAGAGAATTGAGGATAGTTGTGACACAGGGGAAATGGTGAATGGGCATTACCTCCAGTCTCCGGATGAATTTGGAATGAAGATTCTAACTCCTCAGTCTGAGTCATCATTTGAAATACTGGAATCATTAAGTGAAACAGTGGAGTTGAGCACAGAGGAAGCCAGGGATGACTACTCCCTCACAGAACCAGAAATTAGCGAGAGCAAGGCCACTATTCTTGAGATGAAAAGACAGGAGTCAGCTGATGGGTTGGCTGCTTCAACTTCCGGCTCAGAGGGAAGAACATCAACTGAGGAATTATCCAAACCTCCCTTGAAGCCAAAACCAAAGCTTCCTTCCGTATCACCAGAAAAACTGACAAACCCAAGTGAAGTAAGTAAGCCATCTTGTGTCCCTACAGATGTTCATATTGCCAAGCCAGAGAGTTCCCAAAAATCACCAGTTGGATCGCCTGTTGACAAGAAGAAGCCGGTGGGCATGGGGATGACTTTGGTCAAAGCAACAGACATGAAATCATCTGTGGATTCCTCGATAGATTCTCCGAAGTCAACCACAGGAAATCCTATGGTGGAATCGTCTGACCGCTCGACGCTTTCCGGGAAATGCACTCCCACCTTAAACTCCGGCAGGGGAGACTTGGATCAAGATTTTCTGATTGATGATGAGATCGCAGATCAACCAGGCCTCATGTTTGGTGGGTCCACAATGGCATCTTCATTCTTCACAGATGATGGAATATTCGATGACTTGACAGCAACTTCTCCAAGTCATGTGCCACTTAAGTCAGGTATGTTTTTCATCGATTTTGTATATTTCCCCCAGTTTTGTTATTTACACTGCAAAATGTGCAACTTTTCTGGGATTGTTATGTGTGTGTGGATAGGTAGATAGATAGATAGATAGATGTAGATATAGACTCAGTGTTCATTGCAGCAAATGTAGAAAAAAATGTAAATGAGAATGAATATCTTCACAGTGCAAGAGATGTATTTGACTAGTTTCTACAATATCTTTGGCAGAAATGTACTTCTGATGAATGTGTGGTTGCAACAGGTCAAATATATCTCTCTTACTGTGGAGATATTAATTGTCAGTCATACCTATTTTTATGTATATGTATATATATATATATATATATATATATATATATATATATATATATATATATATATATATATATATATATATATATATATATATATATAATTATAAATGTGGATACATGTAATTATATGGATAGATATAGATATATATATATACAGTTATATATAAAATTTTGTCATAAAGATGATCAAGATATTGATATCATAGGATTATGAAATGTAGTGTGATTATAATGTATATATTTGTTAACAAATATCTGATTATTTTGTAGTTGTAAATATAAAACAGTAAAATAAATGATAGTATAAACTTAGCATTTTCCATTTATACAATATATAAGTCATTCTCTTAATAGGGAAACCATCTATGGACAGTGACTGTCTTAGATTAAAAGCAAAGAATATATCTGCTTTGAAAGTAGCTTACATTCTCACTTCTTTTTCCCAAATGGTCAGCTGCTGTAGGTTCAGGGAGGAGTCGTGCCAACAGCGTGGACACGACCTCTAGTCTTGGCGCTGACGACCTCATGCTTGACTTTGACATAGAAGAGGGCAAAGCAGGAGGGTAAGTTTTCTCTTGCTTCTTCCATGTTGATTGCTGCAAGTTTGAGAGTTGATTTGTAGTGATTCCATTGCACTGTGTGAAGAAGGAATGTTGTGTTAGACGTCTGGATAAGCAGTTGTTTCCATTATTGGCGAAGGAAATGATGGATACAAGTGTTTCTTCAATACCATTGCAGCAGGAATGTTTATTTGTTTATTCATTATTTGTATGATAAAAGAGGTATATATTTGGAGATCAGACTGGATCCAGCTCTGTCATGTGGAAATCAATAGTGTGCATTACCGTAATATATGAGATTTTGTCTTTGATTACCTTTACACTTTTATTTTGATCTTATTCCTGCTGTCTGGTAAAAAGTTTAATAATGTTATGTCTTTTTTTTTAATTTTGATTTTATTTTCGTTTTAAATATATATATTTGAGTTTTGCATTGTCATTTAAGTCTTTGATATAATTTCATCAAATTTCCTATCCAGTTCAGTTATTTTAAGTTTGTCATGTATAGTAAACTGAAAGTATTTAAAGTTTCCTCAGATTATTTTCTGCTTCAATATTTTGTTCAGCTAATATTATGAATATGTTTTTTGTTTTGTGTGCATGCAACCTTTGAAATTATTCTTCAGTGCATGATTCTGATTTCATTTGTGAATTATTTGCCTGCGCAACTATGAACATTTGTCTCTTTAAATGCCTCACTCTTTATTTTATATTTTGTGTTATCCTCTCATTAACATTTTTTGTTTGCATGTTTGTCATTAGTTTGTCTAACTGTCACTCTAACAGTTCGTCTAACAGGTCTTCTAACAGTTCGTCCCTCAGTGTTGGCATCCCTGGATCCCTAACAGGGGCGCGTCCAAAAAAGATGCACCTGCGCATTACCATTCCTGGACGCAGGTTGGAACCTCCATATATATATTTATTTGTTTGTGTGTTAGATTATGCCCCTCTCTTTGGCAATCAGCTGTATGCCCGGCTTCAGATGATTTCTCTTTGCTTCGATCCGTTTCCTTTTGATTTTGTGAATTTCGTTGGTGACTTTTATCATTCAGATAGATGTTTTTTGATGCAGATTTGTTGCCGCAATATTTCCAATCTACGTTTATATTGATATGTGATTACCGGAAGATAGAATTTAGATTGTAACTTGATTTTATAGTACGATATTTTTCCCACAGTACTTACTAGTATTTTGAAATTATGTTGAAAGTAAATTGTGGTTTCAACTCGTAAGGTTAATCAGGAAGAATTGCCACCCCATTCCAAAATTAATGTGTAGGTTACCTGAATTAATCCTAGTATTTTAGATTAACTGTGATCTAATGTAGTAAGGGATAAGTAATTAGTAACAGTATTATAATAGTAGTTATTTCTATATCATGCTTTCATTATTGCCTTTGGTAATATACTAAAACAGATATTTATGTGTGAAGTTTCACATGCCCAAGAGATCAGTTAGGACAAGAATAATGTGCCATCTTATGTTGTTTTATAAACAGGAGAGGGAGATATGTTGCAGTACTTGTTTAGATTTTTTAAAAGTTAGTTAGGTGCTATATGTTTACTCAATAAGATATTTTCAGCAGTTAACATATATCTTATAGGCAAATTCAGATTTATAGCCCCGGAATATGGGATGCAACAGATAATTGTGTTCATATATTCTCCTTTCTTTTCATAAAATACAAGACAGCTGAGTTATTATTGCAATTTTTATGTGTAATATTGTCCTGTAGAAGAATGTTATGTTTGAAATTTTCAGTTAGCTGTGGCTGGGGCATACAAAAGAACAAGGCCAAATTCATGTCATACTTTCTTTTTAACTCTCAGGTGATGATTAACTGACCTATGTAGGAAAGGGAAGGTGCTTGCATTCAGTGATTTGTGAATCTGGTTAGCCTGTGGAAGGAGGAAGGATTTTTTATTTGATGGTATAAACTGATATTTGAAGATAGTGTGTGTTTTTTTTTGGTTCTCCGTTTAGTATCTTTGAAATTTGTAAAGAAAGTGAAGAGTTAAGAGTTCTGCAGATTTTTAATGAAATGATGTACTCTTGTGTGTGTCCCCAAGATATGACGAGGAAGTTCTCAGTCCAGATGCCAGCGAAATCTTCAGTGAATGGACAGCCATGATGGCGGAAGTGAGCAGCTCAGTTGCAGAAAG